TCTCTGGTGTTGCTCAAGGCTTGCTACTCCCACTTGAACATCAAAAGACTCTTCTCCACACCCCCTCACAGACTAGAATCTTTGATGTTCTGGAAGGACAGCATAGTCTTATCTTTAAGGAACATCATCCTTGATTTGCGCCCCGAGATCAGTTGCTTAGGGAATGCCAGAGGTTGTAGGTATAATAACTGGCCAGACAGCACAACAGTAATCTCATGCCTATGGGCAGTTAGAAGGGGATGATCTAGATAGATATCTCTGTATACAGTCTGCAATTACTATTCAGACAATATATACATAAGAAATTTTAAAAATTCCATGGAAGTCCATTTTGGGGGGAGGGGGGATTTTCCCCACATGCCCTTATAATATGGTTGACAAAATCATCTAGTTGCCTTCATAATCTTTTAAATGGTAAGTAGCCTTCAAAAAACATATGGGACAAGTTGGATATCTCACTAATGTGGCCCTTGCGGAGTTGTGCACTGCAATGCTTTAACATGTCATTAAAGGGGTAGATTCCGTGACCGAGAACAAAGGGCAACCCAAGTGGATGTGTCTGAAGATGGCCGTTATTCTCTATGGTTAGTCCTAGTCCAAATGCGACCTTTCACTCAACATAAATGTAGCCCAGCCCTGAGCAGGTTGGGTCAGTGACGCATCTGACTATTCTGTATCTGAAGTCTGCACTACAATTTAATATTTGATGAGGAAGGCAGATGAGATGTGGGTGGCGAAGAGAGATCTGAGATGCAAGTTTTACAATGCACTAAAGTTGAGAATTCTCCACTGCATGGATGAGTAATAAGTAAAGTAAAATATGGTGGGAGAATCTTTATAGCACTTTTTTTTTTAAATCAGTGTACAAATATACGCATATATGAGTTACAAAACGAACTTGCTAAGCAATCTAAGAACAAATAATAAACAAATGTACTTATGTGTACAACTATTTGTGTTTTAGGAGTTGCAGCAGCTTTCTGAATATCTCATGGTAAGTTGCAATTCATACATACTGCCATTTTGCATGTACAACATCCATTAAAATCTGCTACATGTCCATCTGCAATTTTCACAAACTCTTCTTTTGTTAATTGTTTCACTCACTACATTAATCACACATGTGAAAAAACTAAACTTGCTCTGTACATGTAAGCTTCAAAAAACTCTGGTCACTGAAGAAAAGCAGTGTTTTACTTGCAAATGATACTTTCATTATAATGAACACTGCTTCCTCTTATTTACTTAGCTAAGTGAGCATTAACTTTGCTAAGTGAACAGTCTGTATTCCTTTAGTACATGAACTCCATTATGTGCACAAAATATTTAGTTAGTAATTCTTATTATTGTAATACTCTCTTTTTCCAGGAAGCACTTCATAGGGAGCAAAAACTGAAGAAGAAACTGTGCGTCTTGCAGGAGCTTCTCAATGTGCTTGTACAAACCTCTGAGATGTCGTGGAAGGTAATTTTACATATTTACTCACAAAGTTACTCTTCCACAAAGATAAAGCACATTTTGTTGCTATTCGGTCATTTTACTGGCTGTGTTTTGGAAGAAATTTCCTTGAAGTGCAGATTGGGAGTAAGTCTAGGTAGTCCCTTCCATTAACTTCTGTTTCCACAATCCTCAGATGTGCAGTTTTAGTTTCTCAGTGAACTTCAGGCTTCTGCTCTTCAATCTTCCTGGGAGTAGTATAATTCCAGTAGAAGCCGGTGTGTGGAACTTTCCAAAGTACTGGGTCACAAAAGCTGTCTACAGTCAATTAACAGGGCAAATTTGCATGTTTGTGTTTATGAGGGTGGGGAGCACTAAGAGTACCAGCTTGTCTCCATTCCACCCAAACCCAGGGAAGGTTGGCCAGGGCCAAAAAGAGTGATATCAACCTACAAATATTCTCCAGTCTGACTCTATGTAGCTGGATAAGAGAGGCAAATGTTGTAAATAAATCAGAAGGCATCTTTAGGATGCTTGCATTTTTCCCAAACCTCCAGTGATGCAACAACAATTATCTTACAAAGCGAAGGGGATTCTTTACTGTGAGAGCTGTAAAAATGTGGAACTCCCTTCCGCAGCCTGTGGTATCAGCTGAGAGTATGGAATAATTTAAGAATTGTATAGATACTTTTCTCAGCACACAAGATGTACAGGAGTACAGGTAATCTTAGTAACACACACACACACAACCCAAAGGTTGAACTCGATGGACCTATGTCTTTATTCAAACATAACTATGTAACTAACATAATGTCCAACCAAGGATCAGGCCACTTTTTGGTGGGAAACAGACACATTTGGCATTGGAAGTGATTGATATGAAGCATTTTGGTTGAACTTTTGTGTGCACTGTTTGCATCTGATAAGTAACAGTGGTTGGTTCAGTTTTTTGGGGGCGGGGTGTGCGTCTGTCAATCTGTAGTCTGCTTTAAGCTGCTCAAAGACATGATAATACAGATGCTGTTTTTGGCAAAGTCCAAAAATTATCTCTTGTCTATAGGTGCCCACATAATCCTCCAACACACAGTTCTCCGGAAAATTGACAGTCGACCAGGCTAGAAAGCCTTGACCAATTGCTGTTTTTTTTTTTTTACCTGAGAAAAGCTAGTGCCTGAATGTGTCACTCCATAGGCAGTAATGGGAACTTTTGGCTTTATGCAAATGGTCTTGCAATTCGGGTACCTGAGGGCGGTTGGATTATGCCTGCATGCCCGACTGTCCTGTACACACTGTACTCCCCTTCACCATATCCTTTAATGTGCACTCCCAAGAATTCTAAAGAATTACTAAACATTTCTAAAGGTGCCTTTGTTGTTATTATGAAGTTATGGGTAAAGTTCCTTTTTAATAGCTGAAATATCAGATGTTTATTCTACAGTTGTGCTCCTAAAGATTTCAAGCTGAAGCTTAGTTGTTCTTTGTTTGTTTTTGTGTTTTTTGTTTTGGGGGGGGGGAGATACGCTGCCAAACACATTAGTTCTGTGTAATGGTGTGCATCCCATCTCCTGCAGGGTGCTGCTCTATATGGGTTAGCAGCAGCCACTGCTGGTTCATGCCCTTTCTTCCATTCAGAGAACTCGTTCTACTAATCTCCAACATTGATTCGCATTCTGTGAATGGACAGTGGAGATCTTGTCATTCATGTCTACTCCTCCTCCATTCGCAGAATGCAATGCATTGTAGGAGAATAGTATTATGAGTTCTCTGAATAGAGGAACAGCCTTAGGCACACTGCTTTTGCATGAAGACAACCTTAAACATAATATGAACATGCATGGCAAGCTTTAATGGTTCACTACAAAAAATAGGTTGTTTTATGTGTGTGATAGTTATACAAACTTTGCAGTTACGAACCATGACAAATTGTATCTTCTTAAAAATAGCTGTCCTGTTTCTGACTACGCTCTTTCTATGTCTCTCCAGGTTCTTGTCTCCATCTGGCTCGTCCTGTCCCTTTTTTTTATAATGTCTGCTTCATGTATATATGCTGCTCCACGTTATAGTGTGATGTAAATAAGGTGTGTTTTTCTTTATACCCCCATTCGAGGCTTTGTAGCTTCAGTAGGAAGATTAAGGGTTGACTCACACCAAATGTATTGGTGCTGCACTGGTCGCTTTTTCCAGCACAGCCCCAACACTTGACAAGGCGATTTTCCTTGTCACAGATGAGCTCAGTTTACACCACCGTTTGGTGGTGGTGGGCCCTGAAAAAAAGTGTAGCATGCAGTCCTTTTTTCGGCACACACCACTGCAACCACATTGCACCACGCTGTGCCCATAGAACCTAATGAGATGTCACTGGTCACATTTCAATAAAGTTCTAACAAAACAAAAGTAAACAGTGCAATCGGTGCATTGGCACTGTGACTGAAAAGCGCACACCAGTGGCTGTGCATTGTAGCGCAGCTGCTGGTGTGAATACAACCTAAAATGTACTACTGGAAACTGCAGAATTGTGCAGTAGTATTATGTAGTAGTATGTTAAGGTTAAGCACTATAAATAGAATTCCACCGACTATACTATACCGCATCATACCCGCCTTTATAGCTCCTCAGAGTGTGATGGTAAGTTTGCAGATGAATCATAAGTAGGTGGTAGGAAATTTAACAAAAAGAAGTGCGCTGGCCTAATTAAGAGGAAATGAACTGCTGACAGTGCAGTGTGGAGGATTGCTCATGTTATATCACTAGATTTTACAATTATTTTTATTCGGCTGAGGAGGAAGAGTGAGCATACATTGCAACAAACATTCACATCTCTGTGAATGTGGCTTTGCAGCAGAAGGACCTACGTTTAAATACTGTGGGGGGAATTTATCAAAGCACTTGCGCCAGTTTTAGCCTGCAAATCTGTCTTTCAACATGTGCCCCTGTTTTGACCTGAGCTTACACTACTTTTCCAACTGCACGTGTTTTGCACCTGTTTTCTTCAGAGCTTGCACTACTTTTTCAGTTGCATGTTTTTTGCACCTTTTTTGCATGTGTTTTCATCTGCACTGGTTCTGCGGCTGTCTGAAACTGGAGCATCACCTAAGAAAACAATCACAACTTAAGAAGTCCCCATGACCACTTCTTCAAGATGTGACAGTTAAGCTTTTTGCCCGGAGTTAGAAGTCTTCTTTCCTAGAGTCTATTAAACCTCATTTATCAACAACATTTACACTATCTTCATAAATCTGGTTCAAATATATTCCGTGCAAGTTCAAACACTCGCAATTGCTATGATAAATTCCCGCCTGTGTGTCTTTACTGCTAAACACTTTTACAATTAAAAAAAAAAAACATGACCCCAAATACCGTCTGTATCTCCATTGATAAGTGACTTCAAATTTGCAGCTTCACACTGTGATATACAAGTTTGTTCCAATAATAAATTGTTTGTAAATCAGGCTCGTTTCGGGGGGTTGGACTTTTGCCCCCTTCATCAGGATTAACATGACATCAAAAACAACATTCATATACATAAATATTTGTAGCATAAACTTGTAAAAAGCTTACTAACAATCAGATATCATTAAGGACTCCATAAATAATAAATATAATTATATTTAAACAAAGATAGTGGTGATAAAATAATCTGGATCATTGAAAATATTTATATTAGTCATGATAATGTTGCATGCCAAGTTAATAGCAATATTCGTATTATTTCTAATATGGGTATTATGGATTTTACCTACATTATCAGTGTGGCGCTTCAATTCCTGACATATTCATCCCTATCACAACACAAGGTGATAATAGAAGCCCTATGGTATGCAAAAGGCTGCCAGCACAAATACTCTGAGGGGAATTTATCAAAACTGGAACAGACAAAATCTGGAGCAGCTCTGTTCGTTAAAAGCTGTCACAGGTCGGCTCTATCGATCGGGAAGTGAGCAGAAACATGCACCGATCCGCTCCCTTCCCGATCGCCTCCCTGCAATGAGCGGTAACTGTCAGTCACCCCTGCACCGCAGGGATTCCCTCCTCCCCTCATCCAATCCTCCAGCGCTGAGTGGAGGAACAAACAGGGAAGGGGGCAGGCACAGCTGGCTCTGCCTCTAGATAAGCAGAGCCAGCTATCACTCGCACAGCTGGGTGAATCTTGACAATATTGTTGGGATCCGTCCCGGCTGCGGCGCTCTCAGTATATCGCGGGCAATAGGTTACCCCATAGTTCTCTTTTAAGGTTTGAAAATGAAAGAAAGAAGCTGATTGTTTGCCATGCACAGCTGTTGCAGGTTTTGTCTGCTCCAGTTTTGATAAATTCCCCTCTCTATGTTGACACTATCACCATAACATTGGATGACAGCAAATGCCTCTATTGAGACCTTAGAGTGCCAGGGCAAGAATTTTAGGGAAATAAGATTTACTGGGGCAAGTGGAGATGGCAATCAAATATTCACAGAGGTACAAACTCTTCCCCACTTTACTAATAAAGAGTGTTATTGCTGTGGTCTCTGTGAGCATGAAGCTAGGTATACACGGTCATATTTTTTCATTCATCGTGGATAAACAAATCTCCCGCTATGTTCATTCCGACATTGCTGATTGGCTGCAAGCACTGTTTTGGCTGATGTTTAACCAGTATGTCCCTTTGGCAAAAATTGATGTAATGATCGACTTCTGCAGAGGGGATAGGGCCACGGATCACATCTTGGTTGATTCCTGCTGAATCAGTTGACATTCGCTTTGTGTATATCCAGCTTTAGAGAGATTTCTAATCGTGTCCCATTGCTGGGGCAGAAAGTGTGCACACACCTTTCCTAATTTGCTAGTTTCAAACCTATCAGAGCTGCCGCCATTGATTTGGGATTATAGACCGCAATAAAAATCTGAGAGGCTTTGGTAATGCTAGAGTCGGCCTTTAATTTAAAATTCATGACTCCAGGGTTATTCTAAAACTACACCCTTTGTCAACAACGAAAAATTGGGAGAAATGTCCCCTGATGCAGCGCTAACACTAAGGTGAGGGTGTATGAGTGTGGATTAAAGTGATTGATGTGAGGCTCCTTAGAAATGTGGACCGGCGTGCTACTACCACGTGGTGACTTGGCAAAACCAAATAAGGGAATTAAAACTTAGCAAAGAATGGGTACTGGCGCGTTATCATCCACACGGCGAACTACGAGGCTGGGTTCACACCTGAGCGTACAGAATATGCGTGTTTGCCGCGCGTTTCCGAGGGCTATCCGGCTGTGTCCTAATGGATACACGCGGCAAATACGCCCCAAAGAAGCTCCTGTACTTCTTTGGGCGTAGGGCGTTTTTCAGCACGTTCCTACGCGCTGTAAAACACCTAGGTGGGGACCATGCCCATAGGCAATTATTGGTTTTCACATGTTGAGTGTTTTACAGCGCGTAGGAACGCGCTGTAAAACACCCAGGTGTGAACCAGGCCTGAGAGTTTCCATTGCTGATGTTCTTCTTAAAATGCAAGTTGCTTGGCTGTTGTGCTGACCCTCAAGCTTTACTCTTGGTCAGTGATCTAGAGCAAGTTTACCAATCAGTAAAGTTTGGAAAGAAAAAGTCAGTCATATCTGCATACTTGTTCAAAATCAGTGACCCTGAAAGTGTTGAAGCCAGAGACATCCAGGGAATTAGCATTTTCAAAAAGTCCTCAAGGACAGCATCCATATTTCTGCAATGACGCATTACACAAACATCACTTGTGCGGGTGAAGCATAATCGAAGAAGTAAAATGTTACCGGATGCAAAATCTGCCATGTGTGAAAGATCTGAGTATGCACACATCAGTAGGGTTTTACAGCTTCCTTTATAATGGGTTTACGAGATGTGTGACAGGAAAACAAAGGTTATAGCTGACAGGAAGCTGGGTTGAAAAAAAACATTAAGATCTTGAAGTTGAGTTGCCTAGGCAGAGCAGGTGGGTGCTGACATGCTTCAGTTTCTTGATATGTGTTTTGGCACATCGATGTAAAACAGGTGTCACTTCTTATTAATGTTTATAATGCTTGTTTATAACCAATTGTTAATTTGAGGTTTTCCATTAATAGGCATGTCTTTGCATCATTTAATGTCTTGCAGGCCCAGCTGAATGAAGACAAATTAAAGTGTAAAGTGGCAAATCTTGAAAATCAGTTGTTTTTCTCTACTCAGGTAACGATTTCATTATATATAAAATATATATGTATGTGTGTGTATGTGTGTGTGTGTGTGTGTGTGTGTGTGTGTGTGTGTGTGTGTGTATATAGAAGCTCTATGTATGCTATAATGATGCACAAGACATGGTTTTATAATAGTATGTGATCTTCTGACTTTTGTATATGCAAGATCAGTTTTATGAAGATGGAAATGCTGTGACACTGTGACACTGTTTGCCCGAGATTTACTGTGCTACTTGCGGTAAACATGTGGTAAAAGATGTGTACATTGCAAGAAAGAAAAAAGTTTTCTGTCTTTGTTCTGACTAATTTCCTTTTTGCTATTTTGTTTTTATGCTTTTTTGGTTATTGCATATCTCATTTTGCTTTGGCATTGTTCTTAATGTCAGGATCTGACAGTGTATGGTATGGTTTTGTTTTTAATTCTACCTAGAAATACCATGTATGCCTGCTTTGTGATAATAAAACCATGGTAATTTTGTATCATTGCTTTCTCTTGATTTATAGAAAAGCTCAAACGGATTTTTTTTGTTTTGTTTAGCTGTCAGTTCACACATCATGCACAGAATAGAGCCAAAATATTGGTGTATATAGCTTTATATACTTTCTGTTCTGCACTTAAAGTGAACCTATTTCCATGCTATGCACACTAAAGTATTTACATATTATACACAAGCAGTAAAACACTTTAAACCAAGCCCCCATTCATCTTTGTAGCCATGGCATTGTGAAGAAATTAAACTTCAAAGTTCACAGAGACACCACAATCATAGCTATTCCTATTATGTTTCTATTACTAATCTTAACAGCCTACCAGCCCTCTATAGTAAATAAACAGCAGCGCTCATGCACACAGGCGGCTGATCCCTTATAGTGTAAACTCCGGTGTATGTGTCCATGCCCCCCTTTCCCACCACAAAGCCTCAGGTGTTGCATACAGCCTCCCATAGATGTCAATGGCGGTACGCAGATATATACAGAGTGGCCTATGCGTATAGATGTAGACACAGAACACCTGCAAATTAGGGGGATATACAATGGAATGTATATTCAGGCTCAGCCATATGTGTGCATGAGCCCTTAGAGTTTTTGTGATATTTGAGGATCTTTGAGAATTAATCAGTTCACAATACAAGCAGCTCTAATGGTCAGTGATGGCTTGTTTTAACGCTAGTATACTGTTGAGGACATGTAAACACTTTTTGTCTGGGTACAGGTGTATTTTAAAGGTAAACCTGTCATGATGAGACGGCCGCCTAATTTGCCTGACTACAGTGCAGCCTCTGCTTTGGGCCCCGATTGTTCAGGGCGGCCGGCCAGGCCCAGAAGAGGGGCGGAGGGAGCGATAATAATAAACGCAGAGTGCTGAGGTCAGTAATGTAAGGCAGACTGCGGAGGTCAGTAATGTGACGCAGTGCGGAGGTCAGTAATGTGACACAGTGAGGAGGTCACCGGTGTAAGATATAAAAGGGACTTATAGTGGTGATGTGCTCTGTCCTCATGCCCTCTTCTTTCTCTCCGGGTGGTGGTGGGGGGAGGGGCAAGCATCAATGTCTGTAAAGCTTCTCCTTGTCACTTGCAATGGCAGAGCTTCTCAGGGAAATGGGGG